GGATCTGTTGGGTGTCCCTCGTAACCATCGGTTTGAGGTCATCTCCTGGCCAATCAATACCGCGTTTTATTTGGCAGGCGATATGGGGGAGAACAGCGAGGCTTACCTCGCTGGACTTCTTGAAAGAGGTTAGTCACATTTATGTTCATTTAAACTTCTGATCAATGCATCTACTTTATCTTTCTAGGTGTCCGCGTGCTCATTTATGTGGGAACGAACGACCTGGGCTGCAACTTTGTCGGTAATTATCGCACTGTACAGGGTATGGACTGGAGTGGAGCACAGGTGTTTGTTGAGAAAGAATTACATAACTGGGAGGTGGATGGAAAAGTAGCAGGCGAAACTAAATCTGAAGGTCGTTTGACATTCACTACTGTTAGAGGTGCCGGTCATATGGTACGTCTCTCTGATCCCCGTATGACTGTAACGTGACCAATTTCTTTATAGGTGCCGTTCGATAAACCAGCTGAGGCAGCTCATCTAGTTGAACACTGGATCGCAAATATGCCCCTTTGAGTAAAGTCCTCGTTGTCCTCGAAGTGCATAAAATGTTTGAATCTTCCGCTCGTTTGTATTTGTTGAAGAAATCAAGATCATTCGCTACGAATTTCCGATGGTTCTGACCTTCCAGAATGTTCATAAGCGAAAGGATAGAAGAGAATGAACATTGCACTTTCGACTCAACTACCACAGCAGGTACCCAGGGTCAGTCACGGGTTCCAAGAACAACTAAATTATAGGGTTGCTTCATTCAGAACAGTCGACGTTATGTGTTGAGAAGACGAAGCCAGCTGCGAGCTGCGTCGATGGTAATCCAAACTAATGGGAACCATGTGCTCGCTGCCCCACTCCAAATACATAAAAACTCGGCCTTAGTCACAGGCATCTTAGACTTCTACCACGACAGTATCGAGAGTAATGGCCTTTAGAAGTCTCGTATATGCAGCTTTGCTACTACCAAATGCGCTGGGAACGTTGGTGAACCCTCTTGTTCTCCAACCAGCAGCGCCACAGGCGGTCGAATGGGACCCCTTGCCAAAGCAAGTGCCCGAGATCGAATTGAGCAGCCTATCTTCGACAGATTTTTCTATTTTTACGCATCCACTATACCCTCAACATCAAGTTCGAATTAAGGAAACGAAGGGATTCTGTGATCCTACTGTCAAGGCATATACAGGATTCATTGACATTGAACAAGGACGCAAGCATCTTTTCTTCTACTTCTTCGAGTCGAGGAGAAAGCCTGAGGAAGATGATGTTGTATTGTGGATTAATGGTGGACCAGGCGGTTCGTCCGCGTTAGGTCTTTTTGCAGAACTGGGTATGTTTGTGGATACACAAAAATCCGTACCCTTTCTCATGTTTATGTACTAGGTCCATGCTGGATCGACCCAAGAAGCTCAAACGGTACATCCTGGAACGAGTGGGGATGGAACCGCGAGTCCAATCTTATCTTCCTGGATCAACCGTACGTTCCTTTAGTTCAATTGAACGTCTCTTAATGAACCATGTTGTAGGATTGACGTAGGCTACTCCTACGGAGATAAGGTTCCTATTCCATCCACGGCACCTCAAGCGGCAAGAGATGTACACGCATTCCTGACTATTTGGTTCGAGACCTTCACCAAATTTAAGGGAAGGGGGCTCCATTTTGCTGGCGAATCGTATGGTGGAAGGTACATACCTGTATTTGCTAGCCACATTTGGGATCGGAACCAAGTCGCAGCATTGGAGGGTCGAACGCCTTTAAACCTTCAATCTGTGATGATCGGAAATGGATGGACCAATCCTGGACTGTGAGTATCACTTGTCTAATTGCCAT